TAGTGGTGAACAGTATTCACTGTCATTCCAAAATACAGAAATAGTGTTGGGCATTGAGTAGTAGAAAATTATACTGTTTGAAATAGTAACAAAACAATGAGATGTGAATAGTTGGTTCAGTTGGGTGAAACTCAAGAATAGGAGAGATATAACTCCTTCAGAGTTAACAGCTCTGCGATTTGAGTGCCAGAGGCTCTCAGCTCTCCGTGTTGGCCCTCTTTGCTGCTCTCCTGCCTGCTGGAGCTGGCAGCTATGGTAACTCTCTGCAGCTTTGGTAGCTGTCTGCAGCTTTGCAGAGGCTGGGTCAGCGCCTCTTCTTGGTCTCCATCAATGGCCGGCACCACCCACTCTCAGTGTTGTGAGTCCCAGCAAAGGCTGCTGGTGTTTACTGTTACCAGCTCCTAGTAGAAACAGATCAGCTTGCTCTGCTTGTGACAAATAACACGAATAAGCAAAAATACACCACTCAAAAAAGACTTGATTAGGACAGTGGGGCATGCTGTGGGATACAGAGAAACATGTTCTATTAAGGGGATGGGGAGACCTGCTTACACACGGAAAATCAGGCTCATACATGCACAGTGTTGCTGGTTAACAGTAAACCTTCTGAATAGTCATGGGTAGGGGAAGAATGCCTCCAAAACTGGAATGCAGATGGCTAGAGAGGGGTGGAGTCACCCAGGATGCGCCTGTGAACGAAGCTTGCCATGCCAAAGCAAAGGTCCCTCAGAGCATCTGATGTGGCTGCAGTGAGCTGCGAAGTACTTGGGGAAGCCAGCCATGGCTGTCAAACAGAGAAGAAAATAATACTTCCCGTGGAGTGCTGGGGCCTCTGTCCTGTCTCAGAAATACTTATAGTAATATAAAACATGCTAAGACTTGCATAAAAAGAAATTTAAAATTTTACTGAAGACCGTGAAATGAGATCTGAGTGGGGGTTATGGGTAGAGCTCAACAGCATAGCAAATGCTTACTGTGTGCAAGGTTCTGGATTCAATTCTCCAGCATCCTCAAAACAAAACTGGAATGAAAGGAATAATTATCACATTCTGAGTAGAAAAACCTAACAATCAAAAAATATTAAATTTTACACAAATTAATATATAAATCTAAATTGAGTTATATTTCTTTTGGAGGGGGGGATGGGACTTGAACTCAGGACCTCACACTTGCCAAGCAGATGCCATTCCACCTAACTATACTTTTGGCCCTCCAATTATAATTTATGCTAGAATTGCATAAACTAAGTATATATGAAAGAAAAACTCTTACAAATAGCAAAAAGGGACATTAAATAGCAAAACAGTAAAACAGGAGCTTCCTTTACCAGACATAAACATTTTATGAAGCTGTTATAATCAATAGGTATGGTAAAAAAAAAAAATGGGATCAGAAGATGAAAAAAGTCTACAACTAGATCTCCACCTAAATGCAAATTTAATATATGACAAAGGTGGTATTTCAATCCATTGGGAAAATAATAATTTATTTTTAAAATTAATGATGTCACACCACTGGTTCTCTATCTACTAGAAATTAACTTGGACTTCTGCCTCATATTATACATAAAAATAAATTATAAATGGATTAAAAGTTAAATGTAGCCCAGAGAGAGGGGGATTTACATCCTGGCACTTCTTTAACCACTTGTAATAAGTTGAATGATGTCCTCCCCAAAAATATGTCTAAATCCTAACTCCTGGAACCCGTGAATGTGGTCTTATTTGGAACTAAAGTCTGAAAATGTAATTAAATTAAGGATCTAAGAATGACACCATCTCAGATTTAGGATAGGGACTAAATTCAATCACTGTAAGGAGAGAGAGGAACATTTAAGAGTCAGAAGTAGGAGGAAGACATATGAAGGTGGCAGCAAAGATTGTCACTATACACCTGTGAGTGAAGCATTGCCGAGGATGGCCTACAGTTGGTTAGAGACCAGAAAAGGCCAGGACCGTGGCCTGCCAGTTCCTCAATTTTGAACTTCTAGCTTCCAAAACTGTGAGAGAATAAATTTCTATTGTTTTAAGACCCCATGCTTGGGGTATTTTGCTCAGTAGCCCCCAGAAACTAATGCAAGATACCATTTTGCAGGTACTTAAAGAGTTGTAAGGTATATATGAGATGAACCTCAGTGGTAAAACAGTTTCGTAGTACGTGTGAGACCCTGGGTTTCAGCCCCAGCATTGATACTGGAAAAAAAAAAAAGAAAAGATACTCAAAACTTAAGAAGGATAGTGTATTTACTATTTTATATTCATTATACGATGTAGGTGTTTTGCTGCTGCATGCAAGTGAAAAACCAATAGAAAAGTACAAACCACATTATCTTGAATGCACGCAGCAGGTTAGAACATTGAGACCATGGAAACAGGCTATGTATACATTTGCTTTAAAAAAATCTACCTAGTATTTCTATCTTTAATGAAGGACATGAGAAAAGAAATCTAAAAATATAAATGAATATTACTAGAACAGTGAACTTACTGACAATGTAGGCCTGTGTTATGGTTTAGGTCAGCAAAAGTTCACATTTTGAAGGCTTGATCTCCAATGTAGTGTTCAGAGATAAGAGGTGACTGGATCACGAGGTCTCTGACATCATGGATGGATTCATCCTTCGGCTCACTCAGAGTGTAATAGGCTTTTGGAAGGTGGTGAAAACTTTAAGAGGTATGGCCTAATTGGAGGAAGTAGGTTGCCGGGGGCTTGACTTCTAAGTGGATATTCTGCCCCCATCCTTTTAGTCCCTCTCCCTTGCCCTGTCCCTCTCTCCTTGCCCCTCTTCCTCCCTTTCCCTCTCCATCCCTCTGTTTCTCCCTCGCTGTCTCTCCTGGATGTCACAGGTTGAGCAGCTTCCTGCCACATGCTTTTCCTCCATGCTACTTCTGTCTTGGAGCCAGCCAGCTATGGACTGAGCTTTCTGAAACCCTGAGCCAAATAAATCTCTCCTTTTTCAACTTCCAGGTATCAGGTATTTATTTCAACAATGAGATCAATAATGAAGTCTGAAGGACAATTTTAAAACAATGCATTAAAATGAATAAAAATGAAAATACCATATACCAAAATTTATAAATTAAATCTCAAGCCCAGAGGGTACAGGACAGAAACAATAAGGGAGTGAGATAGCCAAAAAAGGGAAGGGGAGAAATATTCATATCTTTTCTCAACATAGGTGGAGATCATCCAGGAACTTGGGTACCATCTTTTTTTAACTTTTACTGGTGTTTCCAGTCATGGGATCTGGAAGGGGAAGGAGAGAAATAAGGCAAGTAACTCAAGGCAACCTCTGTTATAGTCCTGGATAAAACATTTATCAAATGATCAATGTTTATCCTTATCAAATGATCAACATTCATCAAATGATCAAGCTGAGTAGAATCTGACCCCAAAGTTAAGACAGCTCCAGTCACACTATGGACTTATTTAAGTCCCAGTGAAGAGTCAGTGTTTCTGACAAAAGCAGCCTCCAGGTCCCTGAAATGCAGCCAAGGAAACCATTATCATCTGATCCCACACATCAGAGATAGTATCCATAGCAAAACTAATGGAAAACTAATAATATATTGCCCAGTTGTATAGCCTCCAGTATTAGTGATTTGTGTGTGTGTGCATGTGTGCGCACGTGCCTAACACTGGGAATTGAACCCAGGGCTTTGCACATGATAGGTAAGTCTTCTACCACTGAGCTGCACATACAGTCCTTAAATGAGTGACTTTTAAAGCAACTAGAAGCAACTGAAGCTAGTAGAAATTATTTAGCTTTTTTCTTGGTAAAAAGCTCGGAAGGGACTGGGAACAAACCTTTTGACTATTGACTAAAGATTACTCTGAATGGCACCCTCACACCCCAAAAAACTCAATATTTCTCCAAATGAAATCACAGTACTTTAAACAAAAGTTTAGGATAAAATAGGATACTTACTATAAATATTTCCTCAGGTGTGTTTTGATTCTGAGGCAGCACCCTGTTGCTATGTAGATCAGGTAGACTTTGAACTGCCTCTTGGGTGCTGGGATTACAGCTGTGAACAAGGGCCTCAGTATGGATTAATAATGGGAGATTATTTTATTTTTTCCTAAATTTTCTACTACAGATTAGTAGAATAGTCAACTTATCATCTCTCCAATAAAAGACTTGATCTCATTTAGGAATAGTTTGCAGGGATGACATTGTCTTTTATGAGTATTACTGTATTCTTAATAAAAAAATATTAAGTATACTTGAAGATACATGCTAATACTGGAGTCAGAGGCATTATGTTTGAATTTTATAGAAGAGTGACAAAAATTTCTAAGGATTATAGGATACCATCACTACTAAATTTAAACACTTAAATTACATGAAAAAAGATTACAAAGATATCAGATATTCAAAATTGCCTTTTCCTTCAGAGTGTGAGATAGACTTATTTAGACAGCTGAAACAGAATCCTGCAAGATTTGTTAGTCTCCTTGATCCTTCCCCAAAGATTATTAGAAAGGGAATAAGAGCCTGATTTGATTATGTGAATCGCTTTTGTACAGGATGCTGTTAAATAGTCACCTTCAAGATTTATGTGACTGTGGTACTATTTTATTTTAATGTTGTCCAAAGAACTGCTCAGCAATATAAAACTATGGAATATGATCTGGTTGTACCAGCCAGCTTTTTGTAGTTTTGACAAAACACCCAAGTAAAGCAACATAAACAAGGAAAGATTTTTTGGGCTCATGGTTTTCCTCCATGGTTGGCTGATTCCACTGCTTTGGAGCTGATGTGGGACAAAGCATCACACAGAAGAGCACAGCACAGCCAAGCTGCTCACCTTGTGGCTGACAAGAAGCAGAGAAAAGTGGAGACCACGTGCTGATGGGCTTCCTCTTTCTGCTTTTGTTTCACCCATGCCCCACCCTTTAGATGGTGATACCTCGGTTAGTGCGGGTCTTTCTCCTGTAGTTCATTGATTCAAATGACAATCACCCTGGATACACCCTCAAAGACAAACCAACACACATCCAGAATTATGCTTTATAATTTCCTAGGTGTCTCTCAACATTGACAATCAAGATCATATTACACTGGTACAGAAGCACTTAACATTTCTCTTCTATCATGTGAATACCAAGGTAGCTTTTATTTTAGAAACTAATGATACCTTTTACAACAAAAGATAATAACATAACTTAAATATTGTGTGAAAAATATTTTACTCAGTTTAAAATGTCTAATACATAAAGGTTCTCTAATATGATATAAATAGAGGAATTAAGGAGTAGAATATCTCTAAGATCAAATAAATGTTTGGATTTATAAGGCTCTTTTGGTTTTCTTTCGTTTTCCACTTGTTTCCTCACTGTCAAACTCCTAACCTCTTTTGATTAATGAGATGCTAATTCTATTAGACTCCACGGTTCAACAAACTTTAATGCTCCATGCTTGTGACTTCCAAAACTCCTGAGCAGCTGTCACTAACTCCACACTGTATCGCTTTGCCTTTCCCCTTCTATAGCTATCGGGGGGGTTTTTACTGAGGTATCTCAAAGGGCAATATTTAGACTCCAGTCTTAAGTCACAAAACAGTGTCCAGGGCTTTTCCCTCATCATGTATATCTGCCATTAGGAGCTTGTTTAAAAATATTTTCCAAAGTTTCTTTTCATGTTTTAATCATCACCTCCCAGGGGTTTAACCTTTGGGTATAGGTGAGGCCTACTGACCAGCTTCTAATGCAAAGAACATAGCACAAGTGATGAGATGTGATTTTTGGTGCTTTGTCCCAAAATGAAACAATGGACAGATACAGAACAACTGCCATAGACATTCCTATTCACAAAAGAGAGGATGAGAGACCCAAAGATGCTACTAAGTCCAACCTGAAAACAAGGAGACAGAAATCCGAGGGGGCATTTTAGGGGCAGCTCACCTCATGGTCTTTCCAGTTGATTCTAATAAACAAAGGAGTATCACTTTAGGGCACTATTCATTTCAGCCGTAATTCATATACAGCTTTGCTGTGAGTTTGTATTGCAATTTTTTCTTTGGCTCAGAGTAAAAAAAACTGCCAATTACAAGACTACTGGAAGAAATTGCTTAAAATTCTATTTCTTTTTCCCATAAGTATAGATTTGGTCACTAGCTTTTGGATTAACTTTTCAAAGACTTTCAAAATGTTTTCCTAATATTTAATATAACACCTATTGTAGCTACATATTTATTGCTCTAACTATATTCTATATTTTTTCTTTAACTTTATCAATTTACCTGGAATTTGCATAAAATTTAATTACAGTCTTGAAACATCAGATCCTCTACTTTGAATACGGAAGTTAGTCTAGTGTTTTTTTTTTTGTTTTTTTTTTTTTTTAGTTTTTTTTGCAGTCTTGACAGAACTAAAGGAATACTTTTCACTGCCTTTCTCTGCCTTTCTCTCTGCTGCTTCTGAAGTCATGGTGGAAAACTCTACTTTCCTTTCTTTTCTATCAGTTTATACAACTTCTCAACCAAAGATGGTTTTGTTCCCCAGAAGACATTAGGTAGTATTTGGAGATATTTTTGTTTTATAACTTGGATATGCTACTAGCACTCAGTGGGTGGAAGTCTGAGGTGCTGCTAAACCTCCTAAAATAAACAGGAGACTCCTGCACGTACAGAATTAGCTGGCTGAGAATATCAACAGTGCCAAGGCTGAAAACGCTGGTCTGAAAACCAAGCACTAGCCCCAGCTTAAATATGATGACATATTGTTGTTTCAGTTGTTTCAGTCCTAGTTATTATTTAAATTGATTTCTCTGCTAATCCTACCTCTCCTCAAAGTAACAACAATGTGGAACTGATAAAAACTAATAATTGCAAGCAAACCAGGATCTACATCAGTTACTGAACCACTGACTAACGTAGTCTGAGGTAAGTAGCACTGAAAAGGTGAGATTTCATTAACAACATAGCTGTGGCACTTCTTTTGATTGAGCAATGTACACTGGAGACTTGGTGACAATTTGGAATCTAATGTTATACTTTATGTAGTTGGTAATTAGAAAATGTCTCTAATTAGTATATTCAAATGAGAGCATGGATTAGGGGATTTAAAAACTTTCTGTATCTTCTTAGAACGATAACAAATAATAACAAAATTAAGGACAACATAAAGCAGGATCATGGAATCTTTAAGATGATAACAATATATTAAGTAACAATGCTGCAAATTTTTATTATTCTATGACATTCCCATTTAAAGATTTATGTCTTCAGGCTGGGGATTTAGTTCAGCAACATAAGCGCCTGTCTTGCAAGTGTGCAGTCACGAGTTCAATCCTAGGCACAAGAAAAAAAAAAAAAGATTTATGTCTTCATCTAAATAAGTGTGTCCATAATGTTATGAATCATCTGTCTGTATCTGCAGAACAGGCCTTGGGAGAGGAATATACACTATTTTTCTTAAGTCAACTGACTAGTCTATTCATAATATAAACATGCTATTCTTGTATATCAGTTTTTATCTTCAATGACATACGCAAGATCTAATATCAAATTGGCTGTCTCTACAGCCACCTGTAGACCACTGAGCTTAGCAGTCAAACAGTCCACGATCAGGCCACGAGCTGGTTGTTGGTTGATTTCCAGAGCTTCATGTGGAATGCAGGTCTGGGGTGCAAAAGGATGACATGTGTTTCTTAGGACAGACCAGCTGAGTTCTTCCTGGCTGCTGTACACTCCACAGCCACACTGAGAAAGCAAATCTGGCCAGTTAACAACAGAGGGAAGACCTGCCTGCATGGACCAAAAGTGGCCATGCTTCATGTCAGTCAGAATTTCGCCTCCATCATGTTCCAAAGAGCCAGCGAGAGATTCCAGAGCACTGCAAAAAGCTTCAGCAATTAGCTGAAGTTCCGCTTGAGTACATCCTTCACCTTGGAGAATATTTCCTGGCTCCTTGTGAGTCTAAAGAGTAATAAAACCAACACGTAGTGAGTGATTAACACGAAAGTCTCAGAAGAGTAAGGTATTCAATCAGAACCTTATTCAAAAAATTCCTACCCACCTTGATTTACTTTGGGGTTTGGTGACAATGGTCATGGGCTTGTATGGGCCAGGCTGCAAGCCCTAACCTGATTGCTTATAGTAAAATTATGTGTTCCCAGTCCTGCTACCAGAATGACTGAATCAAAGGAAATCATGTTTCAGTGTTTTCCAAGGGACTTCCTGGTCCTCCTGAGCAGATGAGGGCAAGACATGGTACATGTAATGCACATAGGGCAGTTCCTGAACACTAATGCTCCATGGAAGACCACCAAACTGCTCTCTCCGGAGAAACAAAGCCCCTTGCCTCTATGTCTTGCTGACCTCTCTTTCAACTCTGTTCATGGAGATATACAGAGCTGGCTATACTGAAATAGGTGTACCCTTAATTGGCTAAAAGAATGTGATTGAGTCAAGCTGGCTGAGAAGTCAACTTGACCAATGGCAACATGCGGGTGAGAATTTTTCCTCTTGCTGATGGCTGGAATAGGGGCTCAAGTAGGAACTGTGAGATTCCAGGCCTAAGATATGAGACAACAGTTCAGCTGAGGTCATGGGACTCAGAAAGAATTATGCTTTCCTGGCAGTAAAGGTGCCAGCCTTTCATACATCAGACTACTAGTTGCATCGCTACTTGGAGATCCTTTGTGCCTGGTATAAAGTTTATGTTTCTCTTTACAGCCAATGCCTGCAAAGTTTCTTTTCCCTAGCAACTCTGCTGTGCTTCCTATTTACCTCCCTGATTGATACCAATAAAAGTAATGGCTTTTGGACTCATGGCCTTTTCTTCCACAGGGAACATTAGACATCCCAGAGATCCTCATCTGCAGAACTTTCTCTTTGTCTTTATTTTGCATCTGTGTGCTATATTGCCAGATGGGAGACCTAAACCCTCTGCAAGACTTTTAGTAATGCTCCAAATGAAGTAATTATTATTTATATCAGCAAAATATAATTCAGGTTTATTTAAAATGAAAATGCACACGTTACTATGAAGACATAATTGGTGGATGTGTAACATTTCCACACCCATATTTTATGGATAATACACTTTAAATATTTTTGGTTCTAGAAAAAAAAAAGAAACAAAGAAAAAAACTAATATATCAGCAAACTACTGAGTAAAAGTTAAAGAAATTTATATCCTATTTAAAAACAGCAACCATTTATTTTTGTGGTTTGAACCAGATGAGATCTTCTACACTGCATATCTTTTCCCATAACCTCCATGCTGTATTATTTTTTCAAAATCTAATAAAGATATCACCTTCTGTCAAAGCACTTTCTCTAGTTTATTCAGTTTCATTTACAGATTACATCATTGTCCATTCAGACTCATTACATTGGCAGGGATTTTGCTTTTCACTGTGTATATTTTGATAATTTCTCTTGAATGTGTGTTATCTTAAAATAGATTTTAAATTATTTGGTGAAGCAGGGAGGGGCTTGGTTGTAAAAATGTTTATTTTGTCTCTAGTCCTAGTTACTTCCTGAAGCTCTGCAGAGCTCCCCTGTAAGTCTATAGCCTGAGCAAAGGGTACATTGTGAAAATATGGAAAATATGGATGCCTGTTTGTGTCCATTCTCAAATACAATAGACTAGGACTTACATGAAATAATTTATCAGAATTATAACACACTAAAGTTATCTGATAACTATCAGGAATACATGCTCCCTGGACTAGTAAAAAATTCTATCTAGAAGAACTAACATATACCACATATAGATATCAATTTAAAGTTGCAATAGAATTTGCTACTTGGAATGCTAATAATAAATGAAGTTTTTCCTTGACACTCAGAAAGTATTAAAGTACTCTGTAGAGCCTTGGCCCTTTTTTGAACATCAATTATGGTTGAATTTCAGGAGTTGAGATTTCTGGGAATTCTCAATACCAGAATGCTAGTTTTAATAAGCACTGTATGCAGACAGTACTCAAAGAATCGTATCATTTTCTAAATGATTAGATTTGTAGTAACTTAAAATAAAGACCTCATTTTTATAAGAATTATTTTCCTCACATACTTTCAAGTACAATATCTGAGTTATTGACTAATTAAGCATTAAAAGTGCTAGCATATTATAATTTGGTTTATCTCACAAAAAAAAAAAAAAAAAAAAGCTGCTGAGAACTGAGGTCGTCTGCAGAGGCTTCTCCAACTTACCGTGTGTCTAATACATGCAGCCAAGTGAGTTTCAGTGCAGCCACCTCCCAACAAAACCCATGGCTCCTTGACTGTTAATTGCAGGACATGCAGTGCTGTTTGACAAGCGAGCTGAGAAAGAAGTAAGTCAGATCTGAGTGTTCACATCTGGGAGAGCCTACTCTCAAAACAACATAAGCTAGCAGACTCAGAGGACCTGACTTGGGTTTTTTGTTTTGGACTGGGAATTCAACTCAGGGCCTGGCACTAGCCAGGCAGGTGCTGTGCTGCTGAGCTACATCCCCAGCCTTCCAAGAGTCTGATTTATAACAGACATAAACAAATTCTGTTTTGTCAAGTTTATAATATGATCAATATATTTTGAATAATAAAGATTAGAAATCAAAGATATTTTAGCCAAAAGTCTGTTTCATGGGAAATGCGATTAATATTTTCTTTCATATGCATTGTAGCTCTTCAAATTCTGATTCACAAATGTACCATCAACAAGATTTGCTAGTACTTCTAAAAAAATATTTTGATCTAAATATAGTTGTACAAACATTATACAATTTATTTCAAACTTTTTGAAGTAATAGCTAAAATCCTAATCATAGAAAAACATAGATTTTTGATGCAGCAAGGATATATCCTTGAGCATACGTGAAGCTTTAACTTGTTATCAATATCATAGAATATCAGTTCCCTTGTATAAAAGTTGCGTGTGTTACTGTTGGTAGAGAATGATAAACTATACTACGGCGGGTAATGTATACTGATAGAGAACTTGTTTTCTAAGTGAATTATTCATATACACAAGCATTTACAGAGTACACAATTCAAATTAACTTCTTATACAAAGTTCACATCAAGGATCGTATTACATCAAGGCTTCTTCTGAGTGGCATATCTACTGTAGTGTCACAAAGTAGCTTGTGTTTTGCTTCTCACCTTTTCTTGCTTTGGTGTAGGGATTGAACCCAGGACTGCCTCCACTCTGAGCACAAGCTCTAGCACTGAACTACGTCCCGAGCTATTTTTAGATTTTTAAAAATGTATGATCGTAAATTACATTGTCACTAATTTCCCTCAAAATACTCCTCCTTGCTTCAAACACACCTATCCTGTTATTTTCATTTTCTGAAGCAGTTTTGGAAATCCTTTCACGTCTTATGTGATAAAAAGCACAGCAAATGCTGCTGCCAACTACCATCCAACAGAAGGAGGTTTGAAAAATATTACCGTGTGTCCTCACCCACCTTACTCACTGGATCTTACACTGCATGACTTATAGCTCAGAGTCAAAATGATCAGGAAATGTAAAGGTTTTGAACCAATTTGGGACACTGATACAGCTATAATAGCACAACTAAAGATCCTCAGGAAAGAGTTCTTCCAGAAGTGCTTCAGAAAGTAGCAAGAACAATGGGAAACGGGTTCAAAGTAAGAGGGAGGATTTTGAGGGGGGCTAATGACAGGACGTCTTTTATTATAACTTTTTAAAAATTTAACCATCCATTGTTATTTTTCAAAACTGCATATATAGTACCTGTTGAGTGACAATTCCATCCCTGCCTCAGGCCATGGGTGTGGGATTCAAAGTTCCCTCCTTACCTTCAGCTCATCTGCAACAGTGTCGTTTCGGTTGCAGAGAAGCAAGGTGCAGACAGGAGCTTCATTAGGTATAAGATGAAAAAAGTGTTTGCAGCCAAATTGAGCAGAGTGCCAATCTTTCACGCTTCCATAACTACTGGGAGAGACGGGGCCCAGGGATCCGATGGGCTGTGCTCCTATTTTTGTAAAGTACAGAAAACATAAGATGTATGAACAAAGGTGGAGCAAATGACCATTCAGAGTTAGCATTATTTCTAGGTAATATAGAAGTTTCACAAAAGCTTTTGTAAAAAATATGGAATGTAGAATAAAAAAACAAAATTCAGGTGGGCACAGTGGCTACGCTACAGGAGGCTAAGGCAGGAGGATCTCAAATTGCAGCTCCAGCTAAGGTAGCTTATGTATTTAGTAGTAAGGCCCTATCTCAAAATAAAATATAAGAAGATCAAAATTTTAAAAAGGCAAGGATATGCAGTCCAGTGTGAAGCCTCTGAGTTCAATCTCCAATAACACAAACAAATAACAAATCTCCAATAACAAAATCTCCAATAACAAAAAAATAACAAAAACAAAGGCATCTTCTTAAATCTCTTAAGTTAGTATTCAGCTATTAAAATCATTTACAAATAGTAAAGCAGAGGGGTTTTTTTAATCTTTTGTTTGAAGACCTCTTTAAACATGTGTGAGAAGCTATTTTGTACTCTTTCCAGAAAAAGACATGAAATTTTGCATACGCTTTTAGGAAGTTCAGAAACTGTGAATTCCCAGACATAAAAGACCCCAAATGAACAACTTCATTATTCTGGGGTAAACGGATGTGACGTGAAAGCCTCTTTTTTTCCAAGGCATTAGTACTTTGATTTAAAATAAATGAAACGGTCCAAATAGAACCTTTGGGGTTCTATTTAGGAAACACACAGGAATTAACATTTTTGTTTAACAACTGTTTTTGTATAAACAGCTACTTAAGTTATACCTAAACAAACTATGTGGCATACTTATTCATTTTTTCATCCTTTGATCTAGCAAATGTTTTATTTTCTCGCCCTATACAGGTAAAATTGAACCAATCACCGGTTAGTGAAACTACAAATCAACTAGGTTGGCCTAAATTCTTGCAAACATCTGTAAACATGGTGAAAGTTACATAGAAAGGTATGTACAGCTTCCAAAAGAAGTAGTATTAGTGTAGAGTCTGAACATTAAAACTGCAATCCACAGCAATTCATCCCTCTGGTACAAGCTTCTTATGCTTTTAAATAGATGGGTAAAGTACACATTGAGTGAAGTAACTACTGTGGGTTGGTGTAGGAAACCAGTACCCACTTACAGTGTTGTTTCTACGGGAAAATGTTTCATACTTTAAACACCAATTAAATAATCTGGAATATCCAATATTTATTGGCTGAAATTGTGAGATTCATGGATAGAACTTTAAGGATAGAACTCTGACTTAAATTAGCAATGAGCTTCTAAGATTTCTATTTTTTAATAATTTTCACTTTGACATTCATGTACCCTAAAAAAGGTACTGAGAAATATTATGCATTTTTCATCCATACCACTGCTCTTTGATGATTTATAAGACTATATAACAGTGCTCGAATAATCAAAATTGCAGTCAGAACACAACTAAACCCTTATCTTTCTGATAGGTTGCCAATGCATTTGAAGAGGCACTGAGGACCAGCAATTCTAGTTTTCTTTGGCTCTAACTGGTATGAATCTCAGATGTGATTTTAACTGGCCGAGTTTGTGAAATACGGATTTCTTGTCTATTGTGATTCTTCAGGTTACAAAATATATCGTTTTCAACTGAGCAAACATGTTAGACACTGTGTTCCACACCTGTTACAGGTGTGGAAAGTGAACAGCAGCCTTGGTTCTGTAGGAGCTCAGGTGGGAATATTTTTTACATTTAAACAGATCCCTCTCTCCCACTTTAGGAACTACCATTTGAGCAGAAGTACAGCATATCACTGGCATTAGGAAAAAAAGGATGGGTATTCCAGCTATAAAATTACCTTCTGAATATGACATAACTTAGAGGTTTTGCAAACTTGAGTGGAACAGTTGAGTAGGGTGTGAAAGACATAATAGGAATGTTAGGCTTCTCAGTTACCTGGGATTATGATTATAATCTACTAGCATGTTTCAGGGCTGAAAAAGAGGAAATGGCCATAATCACTGCTTTTGTCTTTTTCATTTTTATCGGTATCGGGGATCAAACTCGCGACCGCCTGCTTGCAAGGCAGGTGCTTATGCCGCTGAGCTAAATCCCCAGCCCCAACCACTGCATTCTTAATAAGTGAATAGAGGATCTTTTTAAGAAACCTTTGCTGCCAGACATGATACACATGGTGTGACGTTGGCAAGTTCTAAAATTATCTAAAATTTTAACAGTGACACAAACCAAGTCTCAGCTCCAAAGGAGTTTGATGTATTAACTGTAAGGGGTGAAAGCCTAGTGCTTTACCTGTCGCCTTGCTGAGGGGCTCAATCGGCGTGACTCCCACTCTGTCTATGGCAATAATGTGGTGAGTACGAAGGAAGCGTTTCAAAGATGGGTGCATGACTTTTTGGCATAGAACCAGATCCACATGGTCACTAACAAGTTGCCTTCCTAGGTTAATCAACTGGTCCAGGACTGCATTCTCAAGAGACACTCTGTAGCTGACCACCACACTTCCTTCTCCTGGGTCAGAAAAGTCTCCTGATAAAGATGTAGAGAAGAGCGCCACCTTGAGGGCACTTGATTTTCGGACAGGTAAAGTCTTCATTAACTGAATTTCTGGTATTTCAATGAGTACTCCAGGTAACACAGTAGAATCTGTAACTCTTGGACCCTTTAAAGATATAATTATACTCTTTCCTAAAATTATAGGGTTTTTTGTGCTTTCTGGAATTGTAAACAAAAAAGCTCTAAGAATCAAAGTACTGATATGATCTACTTCCTTCCTGGTGAGCATACAGGCAGGTTTACTTGTTAAAACACTGCGCACCAAACACAGGAGGATCTGGGTACTACTGAAGTCCACTGGGATTCGGCAACCACAGCTCTCTGACCTGAGATAATTGGTGCAGAAATTCAAAAGACGTTTATTAAGTTTAATAGCGGTGGCGGTGGCCAAATTTGTTTTCTGAACATTTTCAATCAGGTTGCAGCAAAGAATGGCTGTGAATAAGCCACAGTCACTGAAGCAGGACACATGGTTTTGCACCGATGCTATCAGGACCTTTAATACGGGGTGGGTGACTGAGAGGTTCCTAAGCAGCACTGCCGACTGAGAGGTCGTGCACACGGAGCCCCCCACCCCATTGTGCAGCTGCTTCAGCCGCCCAAAAGGGCCATAGCAAGAGGTGAGGACCCCTTTCAAGACAGCCAGTGTGGTCCTGACTTTCTCAGCTGTGAGTGGCTCCCTGTGACACAGCGATGGCTTCTTAGCTTCTAAACAAGACATCATACTTTGGGTCTGACTCGTGAAATCGGCTTGTATTTTGTTAACTGTATTTTCCACTTACTACCACGTGTTTTAGTATTTCACAAAATATTCAAGAATGAAGGACTGAACTTAGTGTAGTGGCTGTATAGTTACATGGTTGTTTCTGAAATTAATCAGCAATAATGATTTAATAACATATCAGTAATTCCAAGTATTTATTTCATTTCATTCTTTGATACTCTTCTGTTTGCCTTCCGCCTGAGACTTCACAGACTGTTTGGCAGCCCTCTGTATGACATATGTTCCCAAGTGGACACCTATGAAAGACACCCCAGCAACAAGCAGCCAGTTCTTTCTAATCCAACTGGTTTTCATTTCTTCTTTTAATATAAAGCTCAGTTTCAAAGCTGCTTCTGTCTGGAAGAAATAAAAATAAAACACTTTAGAGGAATAATTTCAAACCAATTTATGTTTATTTTCATGTCCTCTATTTTTACAAAAAGAAACTCCAAATGGCAGAAGCCTCAAGAAAATGAGAAAGGTAAATCAACTTAGATTTAATATTCCTTTATTCTTCAATACAGAAATACACCCCAATACAGAAAAAGTGCTTATATTCCAATGATTTTGGAATATACAATCTAGCTAGAAAGCTATGTACAGCTGTTAGAACACTATCTTCTGGGAGAGGAAACAGTATGTTATAAACTAAAAATCTGGTCTCTTAGTCTCAAATGTTTTTCTTTTTTTTTTTTTTTTTGTGGTACCAGGGATCAAACTCAGGACCTTGCACTTGCCAGGCAGGCGCTTACACCCCTGAGCTAAATCCCCGGCCCTAAATGTTTTTATTCTTATACAGTAAGGTTTAATGTCATGATTTGTTCAATAACTTTGTTTTGCTTAGAAACTAGGCTTGAACAGAAAGGTGCATTTATATCAAATCTTACTCATAATTATGAACAACTGCTAGATTCCTGGAGAAATTCATCAATCACTTAGTTGAATAAATCTAAATAACACATTTGTATCAATACACAAGCTATGTTTTATATACTTGGCTAGTGCCAGAGTTAATCTTCTTTCACTTTAGACTACCGATCAATAACTTTCAATTTTCTTTTTTAAAAATTTTATTTAGAGAAAAAAAATGAAAACAGAAAAAAAGGGTAAATAGTACAAAATTTCAAAAAATTAAACAGTAAGAAATCACTAGTTGATAGATTACATATTGTCATCTTGAAATAGTTGTTCAAGTTACAAAATTAAAGCATACAAAGTGGACGTTCAAATAGTGAAACTGCAAACATTTCTGTTCAACAATCCAACAAAAACTTAGTAATATGGAATAACTTTCAATTTTCAAAGTGCTAACCAACCAACCGCCTCCCCCAAATGTTGGTTAATGACAATAAATACAAAAACCAAGGAATGTGCTAGCTGTCAAAGAAAAAAGCAGAACAGAATCTGATTTGTAATTCCATCTCAGAGTCTAAGTCTCATAAAATAATATAGATCAAGCGGGCAAACATAAATACAATAACAGTTCCCTTAAAAAGGCGGCAGTTAAAAAAAAAAAAAAAAAAAAAAACAGTAAGCCTTGAGACTTAAAATTCCCTGTACTTCTTAAAGTAGACTGTGGGACAGTATAGTGATATAGACCAAAATGGTGACTTGAAGGTATGCAAAGAAGGGGTAAAAAAAAAAGGAGATGTTATGCAAGGTGTTATTTTGGTTACTGCTTCCAATTTAGTAAAAAGGCTGTAACTATGGTAACGAGGCTCAACCAAAGTGAAAGCAACCTGGCCAGCTTTCCCTCTTCAAAGATAAAGCTACAGGAACCTCTGCTTATAGCATGAATGAAAAAACAACTACAACAACAAACAAACATGCAAAAAACCACCTGTTTATCCTACGCCAGAAACAGTCAAGATACTTAAATATTATTTCAATGGTTATTTCAGATTCAGTAAAATCTGAGAAACACTTACATGAAACCCTAGCAAAGTTACTTCCATGTGATAATTTGACATTAGATTTCATACCTAAAATTCACAACACAGAGTATGATTAATAAATGATTTGTCTAGCTTTCCTTGTTCATATCCATTAAAACTCCTTTATAAATTTTAGACAAATATATCACTTGGTCTAAATCTGAAGCTTCTTTTTAAATGAGGAAAATCTTACTGAGTTCTCCTGGAAGGAAGAAAACCTTAAGTGACCTGCTTTTCATAAATTTAGAGCACAGTACTTACATTTATCTCAAGGCCACAAAGGTTTATTAGAACAGACGGCCACAGTTCTTAACCTAGAATCCTTAGGGCCAGATGAGTTTGATACTTCAGAGTTTCTTAGACTTTATAGTATCTAACTTTCATAATCGAAATAAATTAATCTGAATCAGTTATACGCTATTCATAATCAAATACAACATTTCAGCAGTATACTAAATTTTCATAGCAAGTGGAAAAAGTACTTCAAATTGCCTTATATTATTTAAGATCAACTTTTGCTGCAAAAAAGTTATAAAAAACATTTTGGATTTTAGAATTTCTTGGATTGTGGAGTTACAGATGAAGGACTATAGACTCAAGTTATATAGCCATATCTTCTTTATTTCACTGACTCTCAAAAGTAATACTGTTTTGAAGTTAAGATATTAGATTCTAATGCATGAATACAACTAGTTTTATCTCAGAAAACATGAAAAAGGTTGATCATAGTAAAAATAGCAGGTATCTTGTCAGTTTAGGGTTTTTCTTGCCAGAGCTCTGTAAAATCAAATTTCCCCTCATTGGACATTACTCGAAAGCTGACTTAAATGAACTCACCTGAAGATGCAAGCCTGCTATTTTCCTGGGATTTGGCTCTTCGGTGGACTTGCAAGCCCCAGACTATCGGGTTTAGGAATGTTGTCCTTTGGTATTTGAAAAACAGGGCTGCTTTTGATTCTGTGCCACCCTAAGTGTATGAGCCCGATTAAGGGCACCATAACAAGTATAACTTTGTAGTCTCGCCAGAAGCTCTGAAAGCTCATAGTCCTTTGGCATCAGGGGACCTAAGGAAAGATTACAGTGAAAGGAAAAGGTCATATATACAAACTCCCTCAAGTTATTTTCATAACACACTGCACTCCAATAAAAACAGAAGTTAAATATTTTACAGTGTTAATAAATAATAGGAGATATTTTGTAGAAAGTAAGGGACAGTAGGATCTCAGACTGGAGAAACTTACAAAGCAATACTTCACTCTTAGTCACCTACTATAAAGGAAACATTATTATCTGCAGGCAAAGCCACACAAAACCTCTGGAAATATGCATGCACTCTTTATATTTGTTTCTAATGTCTCTCTCCTCTTCCCTCCCACCCTCCTTTCCTTTCTTCCTCTCCTCCTTCCTTTCTCTCCACAGTGGGGATATTAACCTCACAGATAACATTCTACTGGCTACATCCTCAATCCTAATTAATTTATTTATTTATTCTTTTATTTTTATTTTTTGCAGTAAAGAGGACTGAACCCAGGGCCTCCACACCAAGCTACATCCACCATTCATTTTTTATTCTGAGACAAGATCTCAGCAAATTGCTAAGTTGCCTAGATTAGCCTCGAACTTGGGATTCCCCTGCCTCAGTCTCCCAGTGTGAGCTACCATACCAACCTCTTACTTTTATGTTTTATAATTACATTTAATCATAATTTTAACAGGAGAATCAAATGATAATCCGCAAACATACAGCGAGAATTTGGGTTTCCTATTTTGACAAAATGTAAGTGACAGTGTTTTAACTAAGAGACTGGAATAGTAAGTACAGATTCCAACTGTAGCAAAAGACATTGGCACAGGAGCTAGGAATCCGAATGAGTCAGTGGTATTTCCATGCAATGCACTATAGTTTTTGCTCTGGACACCAGCAGTACTACCCAGGCTACTCTCAACCCAAGGTACAGGAAGATACTGGTGCCAAAATAGTGCCTAAAGTGAGAGCTCACTGGTGATGCAGACACATTTTCTGTCTTGTCTTTCATCTGACAAGCATGGCATAGAGTCCAGGAAAGCTGTGCTCAGAGTACCCATTAGGATTGAAAACTTAAGTCTAGAAACAATTTAAAGCCTACTTATACTTTTATATTTAAAAGAAACTCATTAGTGATTAACTGACAGATAGTGATGACTGATATTCCATCATTTATAAAATATACTAAAGGTGTTTCAACTATAGCTATATTTTAGTATCATGAAATCTCCTATTTTGTATAAATGCAATTAGATTGGCAAACAGAATTTCCACCTATCCATTAACATTTAAATCAGCATTAAAACATGGTAGCAATGAGCTAAATAACTTGAACTGTATATAGATCTGATGTGTATTACAAATAAAAGCTGTGGGAATTACGCTTATGTACATATATTATTTCCAGCACTAGAAACCATTTCCCCGCTAGATCTTAAGCCACACATGAAGACTTTTCCACTAAGTTTAAATTACTGGATGGAGAAATCATGACCCACTTTGTCACTGAAAGAATCCTAATGGCCTTTTCTGCTTTCCTATATACTTTGCACCATCTTTCAGATCATACTTTTTTTTTGCCTTCAGCTCACTTCATAGCCCAGGCTGATCTGGAACTCACTATGATCCTCCTCCTGCCCGAGCCTCCCAAATACTGGGATTATAGGCATGAGCCACCTCACCTGGCTCCTTTAAAACATTTTTAAAATGTCATGTAACAAAAAGATATTTGTGTCTAAGTTTCTCTAGTTATTGAGTAGCTTTTAAAAAATAATCTCAACAGTATATAAATACATGCATACACATATCCATAACATATACATTTATGCCTACACAATGAGACAAAGACCTAAAGTTATAATTTTTTAGCTTTTTAAAAATTATATTATTTTCATGATATTTAATAGTCTCAAGCAATATTTATTTATTTATGTGGTACTGGGGATCGAACTCATGACCTGGTGGTTGCCAGGTAGGCACTTAGGGTGCTGAGCAAAATCCCCGGCCCATCAAGCAATACTTAATATTGGAGACAGGATTGTGGTTGTAATGAAGTTGGAAATATATCTTTTAACAGGCAATTGCTTACCTGGTTAAACTGAATTTGAATTTTATGAAGCTTTTATTTTTTGCCTTAACATTCATTTTTTGTGCTGAAATTTACATATAGATGATCACAAATCTGTCTCATTTACTATGAAAATAAACCAGTTTAAAAACAATATTTTCACTAAGTTAAAAAAAAAAAAAGGCAGAACACTGATGTCTTACCCAATCTTATTTTAATGCATTTAAGGACAGCCCTACAAAATCAGAGTGTGCTTTCAGTTATATCGGCCACAGTGTATCACAATAAAATACCCCTTTTAAGTCCCAGGTAACTAAAACTTTATTAGGGAGCTTCAAAATAGCATGAACACTTTCATTTCTGAGCAGTTCATAACACAGCTTTTTAAACACACCTGCAGTTTTTAAAAGCTTTTTAAAAATTTAAAAACTTTTTCCTGGGCCAAGGATAATGCAAGATCCTGAGTTCGATTTCTGGTATTTAAATTAAAAACAAACAAACAAACAAACATTTTTCTTACTGACAAATGGTTCAAGAACTGGGAACTCAGTATTAACTCACAAAGCAGCTTCTAACTTGAAACTCATGTGATTTGTTTAATTTTATTGGTGCACTGCTACAATGTAGAAATGCGTTTATGAGATGGTAAACTTTAATAGATATTTCTAGAGGACTCTGACCAAATTGCTGCTCTGTTGTCTCTGGTAAATTCAGTTGACCTTGACAACCTCACAACAATTGCCTATAGCTTAAGGCACCTTGGGCTGACCTATGTGCATTCAGTAAAAAAAAAAAAAAAAAAGTCCCCTCCCCTGGTTCCTGGAATGTTTCTATTGTTTCAAGACTAGCCTATCTGTCAATATATGATTCAATGTACATAACCAATCACGTAACATTTGGCCCTTGTGATACAGGGGAATGAAACTCCCGACCTACTGTATTTCTGGAAGGAGGTCATAGTTTCTAAAATTGAAGAATCAATTTTAGGAACAATGAAGGTTAAGCGTAGGAATATTTATTGAGAGAAAGAAAGCTTCTGCCCGAGAGAGAGACAAGGAGTCCCGGGTGGGTTGCCCTCAAATTGTACTTTTTATTACATGCTTATGTTCTGTTTTTGGTAGAAATCAATCATAAATGTGGTAACTCGGCTTCTGGTATAAAATCCAAGGAAGCAAGAAATTAAAATTTGGGAAGCAAAGGCTTTATTTCCAGGCCTGGTGACGAGTCTCCGGGAGCCAATTTGGAGACTGCTACCTGACAGCTAAAAGCCAGGTCTTTTATCTTGTAAATCCACAAACAGCTGCTGGTCACACAATGTAAGGAAGGGGATGGAGGTGTGAAGCACTACAAAGCAGAAACAGCAATTGCAAGTTTCCCTGCACACAAGCAAGTTTAGATAAGAAGAAATCTTGTTTTTCTTAGCAAAGAACAGAGAAGTCTAACAGCAATTAACAACCTTAGTTACCTTACTTTAGCACCTTTTACAACTGTTATTTGTAGAGGGCAACAATGTTAAAATATCAATTAGGTAAGATTTTACAATTCTTTACAGAGGAGAACATTGATTAACATATCAATCCTTTACCCAGAGGGAAAAGGAACACACAGGTATTGCTATGATACAAATGAAGCTATTACAATCTAACCTAGTTAGATGTAAAGGGAGAAGGGGAGGGTTAGGGTTAGGGTTAGCAGCAGGTGGGCTTATACAGAACAGACTTGTCACGATAGTTAGGGGGCCTTAGATTATAACAATAAATAACTGCAACATGATTAAATTTCCTGTTCAAATAGCTTTAGAGCTCTAGAGATTTTAGGGTACAGTAACATAAATGGGGAAAATAGTGGACTTTTTCTTGGATGTCGTGAGGTAAACAATGTCCTCTGCTATGAGCTCCCACCATGCTGCCACAGGCAAAAGCAACAGGTCACCAATGGACAGAATCCTCCAAACTATCAGCCAGTGTAAACCTTTCCTCCTTACAAATTGATTTATCTCAGGTATTTTGTCACTGTCATGTTGTCATGCAAAGTTACCCAACAACGCAGATCTTAAAACCACAACCTACACCAGCAAATCTAGGAAAGTGGTGTACTGGCTCTGTATGTAGTTCACAGCACGCAAGGCAGCATGCTCTGAGTCTTGAGAGAGTAAAAATGGGGTCTTAGAACAGCGCTAACTGTATATTTAATGAATTTTCTGAATTGTGGGAGTTAAAGAGAGACCTTCTATTTTATGTAATAACAATCTACTCTTCACTAAGGTAACTTTAAGATCTGTGCATCTTTTCTAGATTTAGTTAAACCTAGATTCATTTTGGCTCAAAACTCATTATTTGCCAAACATCACTGCGGCCCAGTACAGTACTTTCTGGTTAGCGAAATGGACTATTAATTGCTTTAATATTTACTATAGACCTTTATGTTTCAGATTCCTCAGTTTCTCCATATCTCATATATTGATTTGGCAAGTGGAGGCCAGAGAGCAAGTGACTATTTTGTGACAGATTATTCCGTTGTTCTCTGAGGGGCTTGGAAAATGATTAGGATCAGGATGATAGGGCTTTTTATTTTACAAAGTATTTTTTGAGCCTTCCCATTTAATCTCCATAAAAACAGTATCACATTGCACACAAAATAGGCCTTTTCCATGCAGCAGGTGAAGCTTGCACTTTTAAGATGTCATTGGCCTTAACTTTAACCTACTCTGCTTCTATTTAAAAGCTTTCTAGTTGTATGTTCTGTTGCTCACATAGATCAATTGTGCAGGGACAGGCACATTGGACTTTCTAAGTAAGGTTCAATGCTCGGATTTTAAAATTTCCTATTTGACACACTAGACAGGTAATCTATTACTGACTTTGTAGATGCATTCTCGTGGAGCTTTCAAACCTATACAATAAAGCATACTTGGGACATAAAATTTTAATACTTTCTCAATTTTCCTGAGT